CGCGAAAAGCGCGAATGGGGTGTGATGGGAACAAGCGCCGAGCACGTTTGGTGATGAATGGGAAGGAAAATAGTTACAAGTAAACAAAAAAAATCAATGAAATTAGAGTGTAATACTGTGTAGTAGTCTACTATCTATTTCACAGGTTAAGTAAAATCACTGTAATGAATGAATCCATGTTAAATGAATATGGGGCGAATTTATTATAAGCAATAATTTCATCACTGTTTATCTCTTTATTAGTGACAATTGACCCGTAGATTAAGAGAAAAAAAAACTTACCACAATCATTCTGCCATCCTGAGTTATAACTGCCACTGTATCTGAATATCATAGCATTAAAGAGGACAACAGTTATTAATTAATTCAGCTGGTTGAACTGTGAATTTCAGATTAAGAAGCAAGGGTTCACGTGGTGGTTCCATTTACAAGAGACACATGAGGTTCATAAGCATATAATTAGCCCCCTGGGGAGGGGGTTGCTTGGGTTAATTTTTGCTGGGTATATGTCGCTGGTCTTTCAGAACCCCTACCCCATTATAGTCTATATTCTGTGGCCATATTAAAGGCCCCATCTTAGTCACTTTGGAAAAAAAGTGATTTTCGCAATCCCAGCTTTGTCACTCTCTGATTATGCATCTACCTGACATTTGTTAAACTTGTAAATCTTTCTATTTTTAAATCCCTACATACCCGAATTTTCTGACTCCCGAAATCCTGAAAATGTGCAACCCCATTCAATTAACTCTTATAATAATGCAACCCCACTATAGTCAATCCAGTCGTAAAAATGCGACCCCATCAAGCGGCACATATTCATTAACCTACCCCTAGGAAGTACCCCCCCCCTCCCCCCCCGGTAAATAGCTCTGGAGCCTACAGACTACTACTTCAAAAAGCTATTACAATGGAAGCTTATCTATCATGCCTTACTGCCGGTATGATGTCGGAAAAAAAATCGCCATCACGTACTCGCTGAGTCTTCTAGATTACGATTACAAGTTTATCGTGCCATTTTTAAGCATCTACCAGGCATAATAACGCAGAACCACTTTCCATTCCGAGTTTATAATCGGTTAATGTTGACAAATTATGTTGTGTTCTTGAGATCAAGCGTAATTCATTGTTTGATTCGAGGTTCTACGTTAGATTTGCAACCAGCTTCCCTAAATTCACCTACATTTCTGCGTTTTAAATAGTAAATCAATGAGATTTAGAAAAGGATACGATTAACATACGACTCCAACGTGGACGCCATGTTGTTTGCTCTGATTTGAGCTTTGTAACCACTCTGAAATTGCGCTACTCTTCAGAACGGTTATATGACGTAGTTGCCTTCAAATCGCTTTCCCGGAAAAATTGCAAATTAAAGGTAAGATGACCCGTTTCGCTGATTTTAGTTGCAGTTTGAGTAATAATTTGGTTAATTTGAGGAGCGAATGGATGGAAGAAAGTGTTTTAAGTGCGGGCAAACAGGGCACCTGAAAAGAGACTGCCCGGACAAAACAAACAACAATTTGCAAAGGGTGAAATGTTTTGCGTGCGGGAGACATGGGCATTTTCAAAGAGACTGTCCAAACGTGGCGACAGGGGAACAGTTAGATTCAAGAAGTAACGCAAAACCATCTGCAAGTAAACAGCAAGTTGAGGCGGTATATCCAGAGTGCAAAACGACCTTTATAGACACTCACTGTCATTTGGAATACATCTTTGAAAGAGTTAGACACAACGGCACTTTTACTGACTTTAGAAAAAGGGTGTCGTTCCCTCCAAATTTTGAGGGTTGCATTACAACATATTGCGTCCCAGCAGCGTTTTCATCTTTCGGCACATGGCGTGAGACCTTGTCCGAAGAAGGCGTATGGGGGACATTTGGATGTCACCCACATAACGCCAAATATTATAATGATGAACTAGAAGCTAAAATTATTCAGTGTTTGGAACACCCTAAAGCAATAGCATTGGGAGAGGTAGGGCTAGACTACTCATCACATTCAACCTCCCCAGCTGAAATCCAAAAACAAGTCTTTACTAAACAAGCTAATTGGGCTGTGACGTTGGGAAAACCTTTGGTGGTTCATTGCAGAGACGCTGAATCCGACACACTAGAAATTCTCCAAGCTTGTGTACCTCATGACTGGAAAATACATCTGCATTGCTTCACAGGATCAATGGATTTTGCGATGAAATTTTGCCAGGAGTTTCCAAATCTCTTTATAGGGATAACTGCATTGGTGACTTTTGCAAAGGCTAGGAATATTCATGAACTCGCATTTGACTTGCCATTAGAGAGGATTCTGTTGGAGACAGATGCTCCTTATTTTGTGCCATCTCAAGTTGCTGATAAACGGAACAAGTGGAGCAATCCAGGCATGGCCATTTTCACTGCTCAAAGGATTGCTGAAATTAAGGGTGTCACTTTAGAGGAAGTTTTGGAGACTGCAAGAAAAAACGCCTCAAAGATGTATGGTGTGTGATATACTTGATGTATCCTTTTATTTCAGAATAGTTTTATATAACCAGTTTTAAACACTTTTATAAACAGTTTTGATTCTTGCAATGCTTAAATTGGCATCCAGAACATTTAGTTATTTTTTCTGAGGCAAGACAGGGGGTGCTTATTAATTATTTTATTTTTATTACTCAAATTCCATGACATTACTTGTTCTTCAAATAAAATTAGATGTAAACTGAGCCAAATTAGAGGATATGGGTAGATCACCAATGGGAAAATGCTTGGATCTATTAATTGGGGTGTCTGGGACAGGACACATTGTTGTTACCTTGAGAATTTCTTGGCCTTTTGTCATCTCATTTGCTCTCCTCAGAGCCATGGTTGTAATGTTATCAAAAGGATTCCTTAGAACATGAATGAACTTGACCTAAATGCCAAGTTTCTGCTCCAGTTTCTTAATAGAATCAATTCCTTTGGTGTTAATCAAAATTCCTAAGGCTTGGGTCTTCTTACTCAAATTCCATGACGCTACTAATAGTCTTGTTTTTCAAATAAAAGTACATGTGAACTGAGCCAAATGAGATTATTAGTGAGGTAGCAATACAACTTTATGCAGGGCTGTTCTCCGGCAGAGCCCAGTGGCCCCTGGTTTCTTACTTTTCCTCACCTACCCATCCCCTAAGCCAAAATTAACTCTTACTTCTCCCTTAGGGTAAAAGGCTTTCTTAGGGGAAGAGTAGGTGGGCAGTTTCCCAGAAACATACATGTATAATGATCCAGCATATGCTGGGCACCCTGGATTTCACTGTTCGAGACCATACCGTAAAATTCCGAAAATAAGCCCCGGGGCTTATATTTTTCAAAGGCCCTTTTTGAGGGGCTTATTTTTGGAGGGGCTTATATTCGGAGGGGCTTATCTAAGGAGGGAAATTTGCGTTTCACAATCGATAGGGCTAGCCTTTCAGTTGGAAGTAAATTTATTGTTTTTCCTTTGTTTTACTTTGTATTTGACAACAATTTTCCAAGTACAAGCCCCCAGGGGGCTTATATTAATTTTTGGAGGGGCAATTTAACGCAGGGTTTTTTGCATTACTGGTTTGGGGGGCTTATAATTGGAGGGGCTTATACATGGAGGGGCTTATTTTCGGAATTTTACGGTAGGTTGTAGTTAACTTTTTTTTTTTTTTTATCTCAGGTAGTTTTTATTTTTCCTTTGTTTCAATTTCATTACCATACTTTACCATTCCCAAGAACAAAAACAAAACAAAAAATTATCTGAGATGAAAAATTAACTTCAACTTATAATCTGTCTGAATTTGATACAAGGTGCCTGTACTCAGTTTCTAGACAGCCAAGCCCAAGGAGCAAGAACTCACCCTCCCCAGCCATGACACTTATGACTAGTCAATCACTCCCCCCAAGCTCTGCTAGTAGCATTATGATTATGAGTCAGAACACTGATTTGGCTGGGCTAGCCCACAGGGAAAATTACTTGACTTTACACTGCTTTCTGACTTGAAACTCTAATCAAAGTGACAAAATCTCCCCTCCCTACACCCCTATTTTTTGACAACAAAAATACCAGCCAATCACCCACAGTTAGGCCTGGGCTTGGGCTCTCCGCTGACACCTAGCAAGAAGGCGAACCCCCCCCCCCTGGTTTTTCTTTGGCTACACTGGCTTCAAGCGAAAACTTAGCAGGCACCTTTTAGCAAAATCACACAGATATGTATACATATTTATGTATAACTTGTATGCCAGACATTTGTCTGTGATTCAAGAAAATGTTCAACAGAATATGTTTCTGCTGGCCAGCCAAAATTGTTGAGAACTCTTTCAATGATAGCTGCCTTTTTGAATGTGAACTTCTCTGGTCAGCAGTTCTCTTAGTTAGTGTCATGCTACTTCATGCCTGGTAGTATGAACTGATCCCACATTTTCATGAAAAAATGACTTTAATCAGTTTATGAGGTTGTGGATGAACTGACTTCAAATGGGAGCAGAAATTTGTACTTTATAAAACCCAATTTACATCAATTTTATGGTACTTTAAGACCAAAATTTAGGAAAGCTAATGCATGGCAAAAGTTCGATCTGATAGCCTGTGGCTAGCAGAGAAACAGTTTTGCGAGCTTTCTTTCACCACAAATTGTCCAAAGTTTTATAACATAATGTAAGAGCAAAAGAAGCAACTACATTTTGGGAAAGCTACTCACTCAGTGCTAGTAGCCTCAAACAAGATCCTTCCCTTCCCTGGGCCAATCTATTTTCCCTATGTATGAAGGATCTTGACTTTGTATAAGAACTTTCGTTATTTATTATTCATTTCACTTTTCACTTTTAGACTTGAGTTAAGGTGAGATGAATGATAATTGTCACTGTAACTTTTACATTTGTGGACAAAATCCTATGGTGTTACCATTCAAAGGAAACCTCTTTAGCTAAACTTTTGCATAGTATTAGTTGTTTCTGAGAGGGTTTTATAAAAACAAATGACTTTTATAATATCAAAGTTCTACTTTTTCTAGTGTTAAAAATAAAAGGGTTAATCTTCAAATGAATATCTTTGAAGAAACGGATACTGTGCTATCAGACTCTGCACTCGTTTGATCTGTTTCCCAGTCCACTCCACATTATGCCGTGTCTGTGAGGGCCTTGGGTCCACAATTGAAGCACAGTCACGCAGGTATGTTTCAGTGCATGTGATTTCTAAGAAGTCACAAATCTTCAAAAGCGTTTTTCTAGTTTCCATCATGACATCTATACTTGCTACATCATGTACCCGACCAGGAAATTTCTTCTGTACTTCAAAGCTACCTTGAGCTAGCCGACCGTAACTAGAGATGCTACCATCAAGTACCTTGGAATAATTTACCTGAATAAGGATAACAAAATCAATTGGTGTACCCATGTACGACTCAGGGCTTAGGTCCTACAGTTCAACAAATAATGTGGTCACATCCCTTTAAAATTTTATGCCCCAAGAGTGACCAATATCAACTTTCTCCTATCAATGTAAATACATAATCAAGAGGAAATGTTATGAGAATTTTGTTAAAGATCACTAAAGGAAAAATTCTTGGATCTATTATCAAATTCTCCCGACTTGTTATTTAAGGAAATGTGAGGATTCAGTCTGGAGAATTTGTATTTGGATATTGAGGCTTAAAGGCCTTAGACAGACACGTCTGGGACAGGACATATTGTCGTTACCTTGAGAATTTCTTGGCCCTTTTTCCTCTCATTTGCTCTCCTCAGAGCCATGGTTGCAATGTTATCAAAAGGATTCCTTATAACGTGAATGAACTTGACCTGAACGCCAAGTTTCTGCTCCAGTTTCTTAATGGAATCAATTCCTTCGGGGTTAATCAAAATTCCTGAGGCTTGGGCCGCCTTCTTATCGCCAATAACCTGTGGAAAATATCGTAAATCAAATAGCGGTTTTGTAAAAACAAGCCTAAACAAGGAGTTTGAGAAAGCTTGAATGACGTCACAGTTTAGTAAAAGCACTTGGTCATGTCTGGTGATAATTATCAAAAGGATTCCTTATAACGTGAATGAACTTGACCTGAACGCCAAGTTTCTGCTCCAGTTTCTTAATGGAATCAATTCCTTCGGGGTTAATCAAAATTCCTGAGGCTTGGGCCGCTTTCTTATCGCCAATAACCTGTGGAAAATATCGTAAATCAAATAGCGGTTTTGTAAAAACAAGCCTAAACAAGGAGTTTGAGAAAGCTTGAATGACGTCACAGTTTAGTAAAAGCACTTGGTCATGTCTGGTGATAATTATCAAAAGGATTCCTTATAACGTGAATGAACTTGACCTGAACGCCAAGTTTCTGCTCCAGTTTCTTAATGGAATCAATTCCTTCGGGGTTAATCAAAATTCCTGAGGCTTGGGCCGCTTTCTTATCGCCAATAACCTGTGGAAAATATCGTAAATCAAATAGCGGTTTTGTAAAAACAAGCCTAAACAAGGAGTTTGAGAAAGCTTGAATGACGTCACAGTTTAGTAAAAGCACTTGGTCATGTCTCGTGATAATTATTTCAATTTGTTAAGTCGTCTTGGGCTATGTTTAAAGAGCACGTTTTTATTCTGTATCCTCTCTGGTTCCGAAATATTACAAGAGCAAAAATTCAAGGTGGACCAGGGAGGTGCATGGCTGCAACGAGCCCACCACCGCACACCAAAACCCTCCACCACCTACCACTGTTGAGTATGAACTAACATACCATGCGCCTGAAGTTTAATGGATGCCGAAAGACTGCATATTTCTAGCGGTTATCGAAAGGAAACGATTGCCAAATGCAAAACTGCATTCGCAGGCTCACGAAAGTTTACAGTTGTTATTGGCGGCAAAACCTGTCTCCCAAGGCCAGGCCCACACGAAACCAGCGAATCCTCTCTCCGAATCCGCATCGTTTTGAAACCGCTCTCCAGAGTGGTTTAATAATGCCCCGTGTACACGGTAACAAAATATGCGCTTTCAAAAATGTCTGGATTCGTGTGGACGGGAAAATCCTTAAATAAGACCAGGTTTAATGAGCCCGCGATACTGAGCACCCCACCCAAACCCTTGCTTTCACCTTGCTTTCACTAAAACCGCTGGACGACTAAGCCTGGTTCAGGTCACTGTTATCTACATACATACATTTATTTGATAAGTAGGTTTGAAATAAGCAACTGTACTGCTACAGCTGATGTGGACCTACTATTACTAATAAGTCTAGATAAGAGAGCAAAGATTTACAATACAATTATTTAAGATAAAAAAGACTAATCAAATAATTTAAAAATATGCAAATTCAGGGTTCTTGTTACAATTTACTGAGCATTCCTTTTGAAAACTGATGTCCCTAACATAGGTCTTGATCGATTTTAGCTTTCTTTTAAAAGAGTGAGGGTTTTCAAGCTGTTTGATAGTGTCGGGTAAAGAGTTCCAGGCAATTGCAGCTCTGTGTTTAAATGAACGACGACCCTGTTCGCTTCTTGGCCTAGATACAACAACGTTTAACGATTTCCTGGGACTATAAGAAGAAGCGTTCTTAACAACTAAACTATTGATATCACATAACTCTAAATTATAAAAAAAAAAATCCGGCTAAGGTCTTCCTGTGGACGCGGCCTCAATCATTCTCGTCCCCAGAGCCCGTCGTTTCTTGGTCACATGTTCGCTACAAATTAAGCCGAGTGACTCTGGGAACGAGAACGGGCCTCAATGACCTTGAATGTCACCTACCTGAATGCTTCCATTGAACGTCCCTTGCCATTCGTCGTGCACATTGTAATGATACTTCACGGGCTTGTTACCGACTGGCCTCGATCGCACGCCAAACATGACATCATAGTGAGACTTTGCAAGAAGCAGTTCGTAAACATAATATTTCTTCCTCAGCGTCAGTAGCGGGTTTTCAATCCACTCTTTCAAGATGTTAAAGTCGTTGGCAATGATGACGTTTGGGTGGGCATCTAGCAACGAGGCAAGTAATGTATGGCGGCTTCTATTGTAGCCAATAAAAAGCAGAAACGTTTTTACTTGGTCGTACATTTTTGCGTCTATATGTGGTAGATTAGGGACCTGTGAAACTAAAGGTATTGAGATTTTATTATTACAGTCTTACTGAATGTCGAAAAAAAAAATTTTGGGGGGGGAGATCGCTCCCCCCCCACTTATGTAAAGGTCTGGATGACCGTCTTCCCCCCCCCCCCTTATCTCAAGGTCTAGGGGACCGTCGCCGGCGACAGCCCAAAACATGAGCTATCTCACTCAAATCGATGCACTATGCTTACGGGAATTGAACACAAAGTCACAGAGATAAGTTTCTCATGATTTTTTATAAACATCTAGCTGCTTGAAATGATGACTGCAGCAGATGCCGAGGCAGAATAAAAAGTATATGTATTTTATTTGTTGTTTAATTTTTAACAAACCCCAGCCTTACCTCTATTCAGGGGACACTTGTGTTGGTCCCACGGGTGAAGAGAGGTTCCGCTGTATGTGCGTTTCCATACATGCAACTAAATTTTGAGTATGTTGACAATTCTTGTTCTGCCTCTATACCGGCTCAAAGACCTCGATCCAATGAAAATTATCAACTGCTAGTCTGTTGTTTTCTTCGACCCTCGATGAGTAATGAGCCTGAGCCCTCGATACGGTCATGTGATACCGGTCAGTAGATGGCCCATTTTGAAAGCTGTCGATTGAGTTCGAGTGGATGGCGTATATCGCATATTGCTGCTTTGTGTGTCTGGGATTCACATTGGCTTTCACTAGCCGGAACACCGGACAGAGATCGGTCAGTCGCACGGTCACGTGACGGTTTTTTAAACTGATGATGCGCATGAAGCTCCGCTATAAATGTCACGCCTGAGCCACAGACGTAACTAAACTTGTTATAGTGAGTGTGAAAAATCAAACTTCAGGAAATAGCAGGGCATTTATTAGATAAAATTGTACGTTAATGGAACGGTCATCTAGAATTTTTTAGCCTTCCTCAAGTAATAGAAAATTCTGGGGAATATTTGCTTGTCCGAACAAATGATTTACAGAAGAGTCGTTGGGTGTCCCTGATTAGTACCCGAGCTTAACCCCTTTCCCTCTACTTCTCCTACCTTTAATTACGTAATCTGGAGTTAGATACGTTGACAGAAGTAGATAGACTGCAATAGCAGCCAGGGAAATGGCGGCTAGTAAAATCTTGGACGGCATTTTTATTTGCTATGATTCCCAGTCTGAAAAACAAAGAAAAACAGTATTTTCAAAAACAGAGTATTTGTTTGCCTGTAACCACTCCGCCCCTACCTAATATTTTATAAACATGATAGCGTGCTTATTTACAAATTTAATT